TTTTTTTTTGATACAGAGTCTTGCTGTAGCCTAGGCTGGCCTTGAACTCACTCTGTAGCCCAGGCTGGCCTCAAGCTCCAGGTGATCCTCCTGCCTCAGCCTCCTGAGCACTGGGATTGCAGGAATGTGCCCCCGTGCCTGGCCGTAGTCCTCTTTCAGGTCTTTAGTTTCATTTTCCTGGCTGCCTGGATGTCCTGAGTCAACTCAAGACACTTCCTTTCCATGGTCACTGTGACTGTGGGGGACAGCCAGGAGCCCAGGCAGAGGTCCGGTGACTAAGGTGGGCGAGGGCACAGCGCGGTCTCAGGGCTGCCTCCCCCCGGGGCCGCTCAGCGGCAGCAGTCACCACACTTTGGGCCCAACCTCGTGAGACACCCGGGAAAGAGGACGCCAGAGCTGCTGCAGAAAGTGGCAGGATGCAGCGGGTGTTCAGAGCAAGGGGGCACTTTGAGGGGTGTCCGTGGCAGCAGTGCCGCTGCCTGCAGTGAATTTGCTGAAGTTAAACACTAGCCGTGCGTTTTGGGGGCAGCGACTGCCCTGAGGGGACAGCAGAGGCGGAGACCAGAAGTTGGTGTCTCCTGCCCTGGGCTCCCGCTGCCTCGCTCCCGCCACCCTTGTTGTCCAGGACTCTGCCCCCCGCCTTTCTCCTCTCCCCCTCCTGCTCTGCACTGGCACACCCAGCTGTTCCAGAGTCTCGGGAACGCTAGAACCAAGTGTTTTACCTTTGAAATTTACCTGCCCTGATGCTGCACACCTGTCATCCCAGCACTCTGGGAGGCTGAGGCAGGAGGAACAGAATTTGGACCCCCAGGCTGGGCAAATTAGCAATTTAGTGAGACCTAGTCTCCAAAAAATATGTATTTTACGCTCTATTTTTTTTTTTTTTTTTAGATGGGGTCTTGCTAAGTTTGTCAGGCTGGCCTCATGCCTGTGATCCTCCTGCCTCAGCCTCCCAAGTAGCTGGGATTACAGCTCTGCCATCACACCCAGCAACCTGCTCGTATTTTTAAAAATTTTTATTTTTGGTCGCCCAGGTTTGCCATGTACAGGGGTCACACTCGGCGGGGGAGTTGGTCTGAGCTGCTTTGCCTTTCCCTCCCTCGCCCAGCTTCGCTCTGCGGGGTCCCCTGGCAGGTCCCCAGGAGCTCCGGTGGGGCCTTTGGAGCTGGTCCTTCGGGGCACGTGGTGGCAGGGGTGCGATGGGGCGGTGTTGAGCTTGCTCTTCAGAGGGACGGGCTCGGAGGTCTTCTGGAAGCCCAGATTTTATGCCCCGGGCCACATCCAGAGCAGGCCCGTGCTGGGGGAGGCCGGGCGAGGGGTGCTGCCGGGGGACCCGGGGCCTTGGCCCACTTCAGCAACTGTGCAGCACGGCTGGCCGCCTGCCCCTGCCTGCCCACCCCCTCCTCATCTGCTCCCTGTCCCCCAGGAGGCCTTTCACGCCTTCCACCAGGACCTCCGCTTCGTGCGCAAGTTCCTGCGACCCCTGCTGATCGGAGAGCTGGCCCCGGAGGAGCCCGGCCAGGATGGGCCTCAGGATGTGAGCGGCTGCGACGTGGGGAGTGGGGGGACAGAGCTCAGTCTTACCGCCTCGTGCCCACCCTGCACCTGGCCCTGCGGGTCCCTGTGCCCTCACTCCCCATCGGTCCCCTCTGCCCCGCTCCGGGCCTGGACCTGGCAGGAGCGGCCGGCCAAGGCCCCTGGGGACAGTGAGTAGCCTGCGTCCCGCTGACATCCCCTCTGCCGTGCAGGCCCGGCTCATCGAGGACTTCCGAGCCCTGCGCCAGGCGGCCCAGGACATGAAGCTGTTTGACGCCAACCCCACCTTCTTTGCTCTCATGCTGGGTCACATCCTGGCCATGGAGGTGCTGGCCTGGCTGCTCGTCTACCTCCTGGGCCCCGGCTGGGTGCCCAGCGTCCTCGCCGCCCTCATCCTGGGCGTCTCCCAGGTGACCCGGGACTGCCCGGGGCGCTTGGTTGTATTTGCTGGATGAGTGGATAGAGAGTGAATGAAGGAAAGCCAAGGGGCTCCCGCGGTCCGGCCGTGCTCCGCCCAGGCAGGGAAGGTCACTCTTGTAACCTCGAGGACAAAGGCGGGAGCCAGGAGGGGGCAGCCAGGCCTGGACAGGAAGTGCTGGGAACTGTGGGAGGGGCCGCCCGCAGGTCCTGTCTTCTGGGGTTCCTCCTGACCCAAGATCAGCTAAGTGGGCCAGGAGTCTTCATGGCCAGCTCTGGACAGGGGAGCTGGAGCCTGCTCTGAGCCCAGTGGCTGCGTGCTGCCTAGAGCTTCCAGGTTCTGTCGCTCGCCAGGAGGCTGAACCCTTCAGCTGGGGTGTGGGTCTGAGCCCCGGCACTTGCCAGCCCCCGTGAGTAGGGGCCAGGGCTGCCAGAGCGCCTGGGAGGCCCTGGGGTCCCCCCAGCCTGGCCCGCCCCTGTCTCGCAGGCTCAGAGCTGGTGTCTGCAGCACGACCTCGGCCACGCCTCCGTCTTCCCGACCCCGCGCTGGAACCGCGTGGCCCAGCAGTTTGTCATGGGGCAGCTGAAGGTGAGGGCGGGCTGCCGCAGGGCTCCGAGGGCACTGCCTGGAGGCCCGGCCCTGACCGCCATCCCTGCAGGGCTTCTCGGCACGCTGGTGGAACTTCCGGCACTTCCAGCACCACGCCAAGCCCAACGTGTCCCACAAGGACCCGGACGTGACGCTGGCACCCATCTTCCTGCTCGGCGAGTCATCTGTGGAGGTGGGTGGGCCCCCGGCACCGCCCCCCCGCCCCGCCCCCGCCGCAGCACCCACAGCCCCCTGTCTCCACAGTACGGCCGGAGGAAGCGCAGGTACCTGCCCTACAACCGCCAGCACCTGTACTTCTTCCTCAGTGAGTGCCCGCGCTGGCGGCCGGCCCCCACCCCCAGGAGCCCCGTGCCACTGGCCCGCCCGCTGACCCGACCCCTGAGCCTTGACCTTGACCTGCCCGGGGCGAGGGTGGTGCGAGGGGCCGGTGAGGGTCACCCGCCCGGCCTGGCAGGCCCCAGCACCTCCTCCCTGTGCACCCTGCAGTCGGGCCCCCGCTGCTCACCCTGGTGAACTTCGAGGTGGAGAACCTGGCGTACATGGTGCTGTGCCTGCAGTGGGCGGTGAGTGCCGCGCTGTCCCGGGGGGCGGGGGCACCCTCTGCGCTGTTGCGGCACCGTCACCTCCGTGGTCAGCCCTGAGCTGCGAGCAGGGGCCCGTCCTCACCCCGGGAGGGTGGCACCCAGGCCAGGGCCGTGACCGCTCAGCGCGGCCTCCACCGCCCACCCACAGGATCTGCTGTGGGCCGCCAGTTTCTACGCCCGCTTCCTGCTGGCCTACGTCCCTTTCTATGGGGTCCGAGGGGCGCTTCTGCTCTATGTGGCAGTCAGGTAGGCACAGGCTTGGGCGCAGGGCAGCGGGCACCTGCGGCCCCCACCCTGACCCCTTAGGGCGGGCAGTGCTGCCATCTGGGGGTGATGCCGCGAGGGGGGCCAGGCCGGGATGTGGGCGACATCGGCTTCCGCAGGGTCCTGGAGAGCCACTGGTTCGTGTGGATCACGCAGATGAACCACATCCCCAGGGACATCGGCCAGGAGAAGCACCGAGACTGGGTCAGCTCGCAGGTGGGTGGGCGCAGGCTGGGGCGGGCAGCCCCGGTGGGGTCTGCGTAGAGCCAGCCTCACCTCTGCCTGCGCTTGTGGCAGCTGGCAGCCACCTGCAACGTGGAGCCGTCCCCCTTCATCGACTGGTTCAGCGGCCACCTCAACTTCCAGATCGAGCACCAGTGAGTGGGGCCGGGCGCGGGCGGCAGGCCCGGCAGCGCAGCCTGGCGATGCAGCGCGTTGCCCTGTTCCCCGCAGCCTCTTCCCCACGATGCCCCGGCACAACTACCACAGGGTGGCACCAATGGTCCGGGCACTGTGTGCCAGGCACGGCCTGCTCTACGAGGTCAAGCCCTTCCTCACCGCCATGGTGGACATTGTCAGGTAGGGCCGCGCAGGCCCTCGCTGCTGGAGCCGAGTGGGCCCCTCGAGCTGGCATGGGCGTTAGACGCTCCGAAGACCGCCAGCTCCTGGGCTGGTAGGGAGAAGAAGCGGCCCCAAGACACACGATTTACGGCAAACATGGGATGTGCTTTGGCAAAACAGCAGCACAGCAAGTTCCCGGGGGGCTGGCGGGCACAGAGCCGGGGGCGGGGCTGCCGGAGCAGGGGGGGCCCCCACAGAGCTGTGCTCGGGCTGCGGGTGCGGAGGCCTGCGGCTGGGCGAGCTGTGTGCGGGAGAACAGGGAGTGGGCTGCAGACACGCAGGGGTAGCTGAGGCAGAAGGCGGAGCCCCGGCCCCCACTGCCTCGAGGGCTGGGGCCAGGGTGCCGCCAGGGAGCTGAAGTCTGAGCCCTGGCGGGCGACTCCACACTGCTGGGGGCGTGCTTGGCCGAGCGGGCAGGGTTGGGGGCTCTGTGTCCTGTCCTGGGGCCCAGAGGAGGCGGTGGAGGGATGGGCCTGGACGCGGCCCCTCTGCCTGGCCCCTCTGCCGGGCCTAGGTCTCGGGACCCTGCAGTGGAGTCTGACGCTGCCCCTCCCCAGGTCCCTGAAGAAGTCCGGCGACGTCTGGCTGGACGCCTACCTCCACCAGTGAAGCCGGGAGCACATGGCCCCCAGGGCCGAAGCCGCGCCCCGCCGAGTGCCACTGCCCACCCTCCCGCAGCCCCACCGAGGGACCCGCCGGCCGCAGGGCGGGCTTGAGACCGCAGCACAGCGTGTTTTCCCACACCAGAATGCGAGAAAACTGTTATTTTTATATAAAAGCCAGGGCAGACCTCCTGTGGCACGGACAATGCGTTTGCGCGGACTTCGGGCTGGGACCAGGCTGTCGGGATCGGGTGGGGCGTAGGGGGCAGACCGTCAGGGATGTCTAAGATGCCTCCAGGAGCAGGGCCACCCCTCTAGCTGCAGGGTCTGCTTCACCTTGGAGCGCCCCTTGGTCTGGACCGGGTCCCTCCGGGAGTGGAAATGGCAGAAAAGCGGCCGCGTTTGTTCCTTCCAGGCCCCTCCGTGTGCGGGGGCGGGGGAGACGCCATGCGGCCCCAAAGGCCCCTCCGCAGGGCCGCCCCCCACTCAGAGACCCAGAGCCCCGACACTGCAGTTGAGGCTGTCCAGAGGGGAGGACACTCTGGTCTGAGTGTGCTCTGAGGAAGGTGGGTGCTGTGTGGTCCTGGGCTTCCCGGAGGTGCGCTCCCCAGCCTCCGGCCCAGGGCCCCACGAGCCACCCCGGCCCATACCATGCATCTTTCACCCTTTCTGGGGTCGGATGAGCCTGGCCGTGCTGGGGATGGGGTTGGAGGGCCAAGCCCTGTCCTGGCCAAGGCTCCAGGCTGTGTGACCTGGGGGAAGTTACTCAGCCTCTCTGAGCCTAGTGCTACCTCCTAGGTGACAGAAAATAAAGGGTCACATTTTGTGCATATGGCCCCATGCTTGGTCCACCCTTACCCTGTGGCCCAAGTCTCATTTTGCTTCTGGGAGCGGTGGGGTTCTGGTCACCCTTGAGAGGAACTCCTGCCAAAGCACAGGTCCCAAAGGCCTGGGTGTCTCTGCCCATCACTCCCTGCCCGACGGTGGTCAGGGCGGCCGGGCAGTCACAGGGAGGTGCTGGCACCAGAACTGTAGCGGCTGGCAATGCCCCCGCCCCCTGCTGGCACCACATGGGGCCGGCTGTGCTAGCTGCTGCCCCCGGTGACCCAGGGCTGTGTGCATCTGCAGTCCAGGTGTGAAGGACCCCCGACACCCTCAGTCCCACTGGTGCCTGGGGAGCGGGCCAGCCCCGTCCTGAGCCCAGCTCCTGTCTCCCTGTAGGTCTCTTATTCAGTCACAGAACAAAGCAGGGCACACAGCCAAGTTGGCAGAGGGAGGAAAGCTTTACGGGGCCTCTGAGACCCTGTGTCCTCTGCTGTCCCCTCTGTGGTCTGCCAAGTCCTGAGAGGCTCCTGGGGGACCTGACCAGGTGCGGGTGTGCTTTCTGCTAGCCGTGTCCTGCGGCTGGCTTCCAGCACGTGCCTGCCTGTGTGAGGGGGTTGTGACAGCCGCAGCCATCCGCACACATGTCGGCCTGCACGCAACAGGGCTGCCCTGCCCCGTCCCTCCAAGCTCGGGCTCCTGCTGAGGCTTCTCCACAGCGCTGGCTGCGGAGCCAGCGACTAGCAGAGACCTGTCTGCCCAAGGCCACCTCTCTCCTGGCAGCTGGAGGACTTGGGCATCCAGGTGGGTGGAGGAGCTTGAGGGCCCACGCTGCCCGTACAGCTATCAGAGCCACCAGCCAGCGGCAAGCGCTTATCTCCTCCGCAGGGCCAACCGTCTACACAGCCTCCGCCTCTGCCCGTGTCAGGCAGCTGACAAGGAGCTGTGTGGCCTCAGGAGAGCTCCTTCCCTATGCAGGAGTCAGGGTTCCATCGCTCACCGCGGGGATGTGGGAGTGTCCCAACCAGGGCAGGGGGCAGAGCCAGGCTGGGCATGAGCAGGAGGGGCTGCCAGGCAGTGCTTGGGGGCCGCAGAAGGTGCAGCCACCTGTGTAGCTGGCCAGGGTGCTGTGTCCTCCTGCCGGGCCCCTCGCTGGCCCTGGCTGGCATGGGGCATGGGCCCTGGCCCACCCGCTGGAACCGCGGTGGGAGCCAGGCAGGGTGCAGGCCAGGACGGGCAGCACACTCTCCGAGGCCCCCAGTGGGCCAGCAGGAGAGGGGGGCGGCTCTCAGGCCCAGGGGTTTGGTCTGTGACTGGGCCTCTACTGCCACCCGGCCCCACTCCAGACCGCCTGGAGCCCCTGGGGAGTCGGAGCCTCCAGACCCTGGCGTGGGAGCGGGTACAGGTGGGGTCCATCTCCCCGCACTCCGTGGGCCGGGCCTTTCCCGGCTCCCCAGCCTGCTGGAGCACGAGGAGGCACACCAGGTACACACGCTCTGGCTGAGCCTCGGGGAAGTGAGAATAAAATTACTTCTTTATTTCTCAAAAACGGGTGGGGATGCAACATGGTACAAATTAAGATCAGTTCCCTATGGGTTCATTCTGCCCTGGGGGAGCAGGGGGGCTTTGCCATGGCCACAGGGACCCCCACCCTAGACGCTGGTTAGTGGGTTAGATGGCCTCTCCCGCCCGCCCGCCCTCCAGCAGCACCCAGAGGCCTGGTGAAAGGCGATTGTCCGAGGGCCCAGCCGGCCACCCTCCCGCCAGAATGCACCTGAAGAAAACGCGAACACAGCAAAGATTAAAAACAGTCAACAGGAGAGAGTGCCAGAGAGGCCGTGAAGGCGCGGTGGCGCGGTGGCCAGTTCACGCTGCGGGGCTCTGGCCGGAGCGTTTTGGGTAAGGGCACGACGGCACCTGGATCCGGGGCCGGACCGGGAGGGCGCAGAGGGAAGCCGGGAGCGGCAGCTGGCTCCATCAGCACAGGCCCCGCGCTGACCCAGGCCCACAGCACCCCTCCCTCCGGGGGAGTAGCCCAGCCTGAGTGCTGCCTGAGAACCAGAACAGGGCCGGGACAGGAGCGGGGACAGTCTCGGCCTGGCGGCTGAGCCCTGGGGTCCTTGGGGGGGAGCTGGAGGCAGGGTGAGTCACCCACCACAGCCACCTCTCCCTCCCGCGGGGAACGGCCACCAGAGAGTCGGGGCTGGGAGGTCAGTGACAGGGGAGGGGAGGGGAGGGGAGGGGAGGGCAGGAGGACACGACCACGTGTGACGCCCCCGGCCTGGAGGAAGCCCTCAGCTCAAAGCGCCCCCCTCAGGCTGTCACCCCGCTGTCACTCTGTCCTCCGGTGCCCCGCGGGCAGCCGGTCACTTGTGGAGGTAGGCGTCCAGCCACAGCTGCCCCGACTTCTTCAGGGACCTGCAAAGCGGCGGGGAGCAGGGCTCAGAAGCTGGCCGGCGGCGGGGAGGCCGGCGGGGGCGGGGTGCAGCGGGAGCGAGCGCCCCGCGGAGCCCTCACCCGATGATGTCCAGCAGGGCCCGGAGCAGCGGCTTCTCCTGGTACTGGATGCCGTGCTTGGCGCACAGGGACTTCACCAGCGGGGCGATCTTGTGCAGGTTGTGGCGGGGCATGGTGGGGAAGAGGCTGTGGGCACAGGCAGCCCAGCGTGAGGATGAGCCCTGTCCCCAGCCAGGGCCGGGGGCAGTGGGGACCCTGGGGCCGGAAAGCTGGGGAGCTACCGGATGGATGCCCAGAGGCAGGAATGCCAGGAATGGCGGGTGGCAGGGAGTGCTGGCAGCAGGGCCGGGCGGCAGGGATGTCCCTGGCTGGCCGGCGCTCCGGGCCTCAGCGGGCCTCAGCCGGGCCGCGCCCCTCCCCCGCCCGCCGGCCCCCACTCACTGGTGCTCGATCTGGAAGTTGAGGTGGCCGCTGAACCAGTCGTTGAAGAAGGACTGCTCCACGTTGCAGGTGGCTGCCAGCTGGGGAGGAGTGGGGTGAGCACAGGGCCCTCGGGCAGTGTCCTGCCCCTTCTGCTGTGCGTCCCAAGGCTGTGGCTGAGGACACTGCGGCCGGGGCCCTGCACAGCTGCGTGTCCCTGGGCCTCACCTGGCTGCTGAACCAGTCGCGGTGGTGGTCCAGGTCGATTTCCATGACGATGTGGTTCATCTGCGTCACCCACACGAACCAGTGGCTCTCCAGGAACCTGGCGGACGAGGCGGGGTGGGGCTCGGGGTCACAGAGGAGGAAGGAGTCCCTGGAAGGTGCCCCCCGCCCCTGCTCCGGGCGCAGCTCCGGCACCTGATGAAGTTGAGGAAGAGCAGGGCTCCCAGGACGCCATAGAAGGGGACGTAGGTGGAGAAGAAGCGCACGTAGTAGCTGATGGCCCAGGCCAAGTCCTGCAGGGGAGGAGGTCAGAGGCCCCACCCGCCAGCTCAGGCCCAGAGGCAGGCACGTGCCTTGCCGCCCTGCGTGGGCATCCGAAGGAGCCAGTACCTCTGGGAGGCTGGCACCAGGCCCACAGCGCACAAAACCCTTCTGCCTCCTGGGAATGTGGGTGCCCGGGATGGAAGCCAGGGCCCGACTGGCAGCCCTGGAGTGGGTGCAGCGGTTCCAGAGGCCGTGGGCCCCAGGCCTCCATCTCAGGGCTGGGGGTGAGGTCCCGAGCTCGGCCGCCTGCATCTCCATCCTGGGCAGGCGTGGCCCGCACACCTCCGCCCGCCCGGCCTCCTGCTCATCCCCTGGCACACTAGTCACTGGTGGCTCGTGCTCCACACAGACCCTGTCCCTCCCGGAGGCCCTCCCAGGGCAGGCAGGGCGCTGCGGACCTCCCCCCACGCCCGCCAGCTCTCGAAGCATGGGCCCCTCCACGGGCGTTCCTCTGCCGGGAACTCGTGCCGTCCGGCCGCAGCCACTGTCCTCTGTCCTGGGCAGCCCAGAAGCCAAGTCCAGGGAGGAGAGGCCTGGAAAGCACCCCTGGCCGGGCAGAGCCAGCCTTCCCCGGCCGAGGGACGCCCGGCACCCACCCTGACAGACGCTGTCGGGTGCCCTCAGAACTGGCCGTCAGGGCCCCTCCGCAGTGGCCGTGCGCCCCAAGTGTCCCCAGGGCGTCTCTGATGTCCCCCCTCTGCCAGCTCTGCCTTTTCGGACACAGTCCGGCCTCGTCTCCTACTCTTCCTGGTCAGTGCTCTGCCCCTTGCCGAGCAGGCACAGTAAGAGCAAGAAGTAAGGGACGCTATGCACCGTGTCCAGAGCCCTCCGCTATGAATCATAACAACGCACACACTTGTCCTCCCAGCTCTCTGGGAGGCTGAAGCAGGAGCATGCAAGTTGAGGCTGAATGTGGGCAATTTAGCGACTTAGTGAGACCCTGTCTCAAGATAAAAAGTGGGCTGGGATACAAAACAAACAAGACAGAACAAAACTGCAGCCCCAACTCCTCCCCAGCTGCCCCTGCTCCTGGCCCGGGAGACTGGGGTTCAGAGGCCAGCCAGCCTGATCCAGCGAGGCTGGATCCCCATCAAGGGCAGGGCAGCGCTCCCAGCCCCAGCTCGATCGAGGGCAAGGGTGCCCCCAGGCACCCCTCCCTCAGGAGCCCCAGGCTGGTGCCGGTGTTGAGTTCCCACACTCATATTTGAATGTGGTGACCGCAGGGGACCTGTGGGGACAGCTGAGATGGGTCATCAGGTGACCCTGACCCAGCAGGAGCAGAGTCTCTAGGAAGGGGACATCTGGACACACAGACAGGAGGGATGGGGAGCAGACAGCCGCCCACCCGCCGGGACAGACGCCTCCTCCCCCACTGCGGGACCACGCCTTCTGCGGCTTGGCCGGGATGGGGGCTTCGCGCCCAGTGTCTGCTGCCCGCCCTCGTTTCCCAGCCAGGGAGTGGGGTGACCTGGACCCGACCCTGCAGGGAACACGGCGGTGGGGCGCGCTCCGGGGGGCGGGACCTCAGGGCGTGGCCCCTGCACTCACCACCCAGTCCTTGCGCATGACCATGGTCATGATGATCTGGTACTGGAAGTACATGGGGATGAGCAGCGGCGGCCCAACTGCGGGATGGCAGAGGCTGCGTCAGGGCGCCCAGCTCGGGCGGCGTCCACCCTCCACCCTCGTCCGCCTGCAGGGGGCGCCTCGGGGCGAGGACAGCAGGGGGCGCACAGCGGGCAGGGCGCCCTACTCACTCAGGAAGAAGTACTCGTGCTGGTGGTTGTAGGGCAGGTACTTCAGCTTCTTCCTGCCGTACTGCGGAGAGACCAGGACAGCCCTGAGCGCCGCCCGCAGCCGCCCCGGCCCTCCGCACCCCACCACCGTGCGCCCAGGCCCCGCTCCAGCCCGCAGGAGGACCCGAGTGTCCGCCAGCCACCTCCTTTCTCCTGCTCCCTTCCCTCCATCCTTCGCGGGATGGACTGCAGGGCCTTTGCCCTGAGCTGCATCCTCAGCCCTCTTTTTACTTGTTTTGAGACACATCTCACTAAGTTTTTCAGTCACCCGGGCTTGGCCAGAGCTTGCAATCCTCCTGCCTCAGCCTCCCCTAGTGCTGGCATCACAGGCATGCCCACCATGCCCACAGGCCTCCTTAATTTCTCTCTCTGTCTCTCTCTCTCTCTCTCTCTTTCTTCTAAGAGTAGGAAGTTTATTGGGGAATAGGAATGGAAACTGGGAAGAGCTCCTGAGAGACAGAGCCGTCACCCTGCTCACACGGCCTGTGCATGGGTGCCCTGCATGGCACAGGCACCAAGAGCCACCCTGGTCGCTGACACCCTAAACTGCCCGGCCCCAGGGACCATCCGCCCTGGGTGCCGCACAGAGCTCGGGCTGGCGGCCGCCAGATCTGTCAGTTCTGCTCCCGGGGCAGCTGCTTGTCTTCCTGAGCCTGGCGAGCGGGCCCCGGAGCGCCCCTGAGGGAGACAGGGCTCCTGGGCTGCAGGCCAGGGGTGTGGGGGACCCTAGGGGGTCAGAGGCTGCACCACACCGAGCGCTGTTTCCAACAGCACAGGCAGCTGGGCTCCACACACGGCTCCATGCCTGTGCCCGCCGGGCACCTAGGGGGCAAAGCCTCGGGTGGGGCTGACCACGCCTCTCACCCACAGCCAGAGAGCACAGCGTCTGGGAAGCTCAGGCTCTGCTGGCACACCTCGGGCTTGGCTTCCCGTGCCCACAAGCGGCTCAGGTGGGAGCCAGATCGGCCGGGAGAGGAGCACTGGAACGTGCTGGGCTGCAGGAGGACCACTTGGCACCCCGTCCCACGGGACCGAGCTTGAGTCCGGGGTCTTCACACGGAGCCGCAGCCCCAAGCATTGTAAACAATTAACTAAGTTTTTATTTTTAATTTATTTATTTATTTTTTTTGGTTTTTCTCCGGTACCGGGAACCGAACTCACGACCTTGCACTTGCCAGGCAGGCGCTTTTGCCGCTGAGCTAAATCCCCAGCCCCTATTTTTAATTTTGAGACAAGGTTTTGCTAAGTTGCCCAGACTGGGTTCAAACTTGCAATCCTCCTGTCTCAGCCTACACAGTGCTCATTTCCTCTCCTGGCCGAGGTTTCTCTGGCAGAGGTGCCCAAGTGACGCTGAGCGAGTGGGGACCACCAGCCTGCCTGTCCTCCCAGTGGGAGCAGGGCCTCCCTCCCCTCGGGAAGTCCCTGTCCCCCCAGGAAGCAGGGTTCACCCGCAGGGCCGGGGGCCAGGGCGTGGGCGGCTTCCTGCGGCCGGACCCCGAGAGGAGACCGCATCCACACAGGCCTGGCCTTGAGCGGGGACAGCGTGTTCCCAGTGGAGGCTGACCGTCGCGAAGGGGCCATGGCAGGGGGCAGGAGTGCGCCAGCCTGGCACAGTGCTGACCCTCCTGTCAGTCTCTCCAAGGACCACAAGGGCTGGGAGGACCTTCCAGGTTTGGCACAAAATCTCTGAGGAGGAAAAACAGGGCACTAACACCCCAAATAGAAACAAGGGTGGCATCGTCGGAAAGGAAGGGACCTCATTTTCCCAAAAATAAGACCTAGCAGGAAAATAATCAGGTTTCAAAACTAGAGATCAAAAGTGCCAGCCTCACTGGGTGTGGAGGCACACACCTATCATCCTGGCACTCGGGAGGCTGAGGCGGGAGGGTCGCCCTAAGTTGGAGGACAGCCTGGGCTACACAGTGAGTTCAAGACAGCCCGAACTTCACAGCGAGAACCTATATCAGCAACAACAACAGCAAAGCAGCTGGGATCACCCGCTCCTGGCCGCACCCGCCTCACTGATCCTCCTCTAGGCTGCTCTGTAAGAGAGCTCAGGCAACGATCGGCCGACTGGGGCTGGCACTTCTGATCTCCAGCTCCCAGGGCTGATTATTTTTCCGTTAAGTCTTATTTTTGGGAAAACACGAATTAGATTTTCCTTAATTTCAAAATACGATCATCTATCCAGCAGCCCCCAAAAATCCACTGGAAAACTTGACTCCTACAGAGACGTCCATGGACCCCCACCATGAAGCTGCTGGGGACACATGAGGCCAGCACCCAGGGCCAGAGAAGCAGCGGAGGACAGAAAGACAAGTGTAAGGCCGCCGAGAGGGACAGCACACGGCTCATCCTGAGGGGCAGTGCGCGGGCGGGGTGCACCCCGACAGCATCCTGGAGAGGACGGGCGGTGGGCGCTCGGGGGCGGGGACCGCTGACCAGAGTGACAAAGAGGTGGACCTAACGAGGGCAAAGACTGCATGGTGGGGCCCCAGGCCAGGAGCTGGAGCCTGGCCAGCACCCGCTGGGACCCCGGCGCCTCAGGCAGGAGACCAGAGCTTCTGCAGGAGGGCGAGGAGCCGGGCCTCAAAGCGGTACCAGGGACACAAATGCTGCAGGGGCTGCCCATCCCCAGGAGGGAGGCCCCGGGCCAGCGTGGCCGTCACTGTCAGGGACAGTTGCGTCACCCGGAGCAGCCAGCGCCCGCTCGTGCCGAGGGAGCTTGGGTGGACCGGCTCCCCCTTCCCACGCCGCGCCCTGCAGGCCGAGGCCCCGAGCACAGTCCTGTTGACTCGGGGTGTGCACTGGCCACCCAACGTGGCCCCCGTCAAACCCTGGGGTACAAGGCCTGCCGCCACGTGGTCGTGTTCCAGGGTCCTCTGCACGTTCTGGGGGCCGCTGTACGAAGGCCTCTAGGGGTAGGGTAGGGTGGCCCCACCCTGGGCTGAAGCAGCACAAGGAAGAGTGCAGATCCAAACTTGAACTCACACCCGAACCAGCCCAGTCCCCCCACTCGGGGGTCCCAGAGCCACAGGCTGCGCGGCCCAGGGTCCACCGAGCCTCGATTTTCACACAGGGGTCAGGAAAGCGCTCTGAATGAGAAAGATGAGATGCTTGCCTACACACACACACAACACACAACACATTCACACAGTATACACACATGCATCACATAGGTGCACACACACACACTAACATGCACGTGCACACACAGGCGTGCGTGCACACACATGAATACACAAGCACACACACATACCCACTCATGCAGTGCACACACATAGGCGCACACACTCGTGCATGCACACACACAAGCATACACATAGGTGCACACGCTTTCCTGCATGCGTACGCACACTCACACACACACACATACACACCCCCGGAGCTGACGCAGCTCAGCGGCAGAGCTCTTGGGCAGTGTGTGGGAGGCCTCGAGTTCAACCCCCAGCACCACTCACACTCACGCACAAAGGAAATCGAGATCCCGACTGATGACACGCCTGTCCACGCCAGTGCGGCCTGCGACATGCTGCGCCCACGTGCTCTAACAGCAGGTCACAGAGCGAGGAGGACGCCTTCGCCTTCTGTCTCTGAAGACACAGACACTCGTGTGTTTCACATAGGAAATGTCAGACGCTGGCCCGGAGCAGTTGCCCCAGCGCACAAGGCTAGGGGCAAGGGCTCTGGGGAGACTGTTAGACTCGCTCTTTTCTTATTTTTGAGACAGGGTCTCGCTGTGTAGTACAAGCTGGCCTTGAACTCACTAGGTAGCCCAGGCTAGCCTCAAACTCTTGGCGATCCTCCTGCCTCAGCCTCCCGAGGGCAGGGATTACAGGCGTGCGCCACCACGCCCAACGAGACTCACTGGTACATTTTGTGCATTCCGATATGGTTTCAGTGTTCACACCCACACTAAAAGCACAGCCCAAAGGCTGTGGCTGCATTAAAGGGCCCAGCCCGTGGCCGGCAGACGCGGCAGGCAGTCACCGGCTGCATCCCTGGCCCCTCTGCTCTGTCTCCTCATCCTTCGGGAGGTGGCGTGGACCAGGCCAGCTGGGGCTCCTCCTGGGGGCGCTGTGGCCCCTGAACTTGAGCCCCTGCCACTGGGACCACAGGACGCCTGGACCCTGCTCTCCTGCTGAGTGGACCGGACTCCTCCGTGTGTGGATGGAGGGAGCCGTGTCTGAGCTCACACCACCCCAGCCGAGGAGCCGGGTGCTTGGGAGAGGTGCCCCCTCCGCCGCCGCAGTCCCCTCAGCCGTACCTCGAGGGGCTGCCACTCGCCCAGGACGAACACGTGCAGCATCTTGATGTCCGGGTCCTTGTGGAAGATGTTGGGCTTGGCGTGGTGCTGAAAGTGGCGATGGTTCCACCAGTTGGCGGAGGCGCCCTGCGGGAGAGGTGTGGGGTGAGCCCTGCAGCCCCTGCCCTGCCGCTCCTGAGCCCACAGGGCTGGTCAGCTCCGGCCTCAGCTTTCCCCACCCTGGGATGTGGCCGCACGTAGGAAGGGCTGGGGTCGCGCCACAGGGTAAGCCCCGGCAGCTTCAGGGCGCACAGCCACCCACACCCGCTCAGCACCGCTCCGGGGAGGGGTTTCCGGGACACGGCTGCCAGGGACCCAGCGGTGCCCCTGGGCCCAGACAGACGAACACACGTTTACGCAAAAACCAACGCCCGGCTGTTCATGGCCGCGTCCTTGGAAATGCCAGAGCGAGTGACTCAGACTTCCACCAGAAGGTGGGCACGTGTGGCACCGCGACGCGGCGGAACAGTGCCAGGTCACGTCTGGGTGTCCCCCAGGCCTCGCCAGCTCAGCCGCAGGGCTTCGGGGAGCTGGCGGCTTGGCGGAAGAGGGAGTGGCCCGGAGGAGCCCACCTCCTTCCCGGCTGTCCCCTCTCTGCTCCCCACTCCCACACTGTGCGTGGCTTCCCTCTCACGCCCTCCCCCGAGCCGAGGTCGTGCATCTCAGCCACAGGAAGTGACTGAGACCGTCAGGGTGGCCGAGCCGTAAGGACGGAGACATGGACCCGCACCACAGCACGGACAAACGGACACCCGTGCTGAGGGAAAGGAGCGGCCAGGGGACCCTGGCACAACGCCGTCGGCAAGAGGTCCAGAGATGGGAAGGCCAGCGCTGCGCAGGGGAGGGGCGGCCGAGGTGGGGGTGACGCCGCCCCCTGCACAGGGGCCGTGAATGACTCCCACTCAGCAAGCTCCGGCCGCGCCCCGTGCCTGCGCCTGCGCCGTGGTGTGCTGCACATCTCGGGGAAGCCGGGCTGCACTTGGCCGAGGGTCCAGCCAGCCGCACAAACACTTCTTTACAAAAAACAAACTTCTCCCCTGGGAGGCGCTTCTGGCAGACACAGCCATGGACACTAACGGCCGAGGGTGGGGATGGTGCTGGACAGCTGCGGCCTCTGCTGTGACCTCAGGCCCTGTGGGGCGGTGGGGCTCAACCCGGCAGAGCAGAAGCAAAATGTCAGGGGCGAGAGCCCGGAGGTTTGGAATCCAACCACACATTCCCGTCCAAAGCCCAAAGGAACACACTTCCCGGGGGAAGCAGATGGAAAAGTCCCAGCAGAGACCTCAAGGAGCAAGGGAGAGCTGGACGGCTCTCTGCCAGCCTAGGGAGGGGCCGGCCTGCATGGCCAGGGCCCGGGTCCCCCCGCAGCACCGCCAGAGCAAAACCAGAACCCAGCCCAGACATCGGCTGCGTGAAGGAGGGAAGAAGGGATGGTGGGCGTGGGCTTCAGGAGGGGGCAGTGCTGCGTCCCTGGATGGGATCGTGCGCCCAAGGTCCCTCCTCCTGCCGGGGCAGTGGCCAACAGGCCCCTGCCTGTGTCTTCCCACCCTAAACTGGCCACTGTGCAGGCAGAGACAGGCGGTGAACCGCCACACAGCCTGTTCCCAGGAGCTGGCAGGGCATGGACGCCCTTGGCCGCGCTGGAGGGACTGGGAAGTCAGAGGGAGAGGACGGCGCTCGGGGCTGCAGGCCCGACAGGCAGCCAGCGAGGCGGCCCCCAGTCTGGGCGCTGCGGGTGAGCCAGGACCCCTTGTCTCAGGAGAGGGAATAGCCCAGTTTCACAATTTCTGCCAACCAAGGGAGAAGTTTATGTAGTTTTTAATTACTTCATGGTGAAATAAAAATAGAATGACTTGTGTTTTGGGATAAACAAGACATTTAAAAGCCAGGTATTTATACACGTGGGTCTGATTTATTTCACTATGAGTATGGTCTCTAGTTGCATCCATTTACCTATAAAACCCTCAAATTTATCTTTTTTTACTTTTTATTTTATTTATTTATTTATTTAGTCTTTTTGAGACAGGGTCTCCCTATGCAGTTCAGGCTGGCCTTGAGCTCACTTTGTAGCCCAGGATGGCCTCAAACTCAGTGATCCTCCTGCCTCAGCCTCCCGAGTGCTGGGATTGCAGGCATCCTCCATCACGCCTGGCTCCTTTTTTTTGGTGCTGGAAGTCTAACTCAGGACCTTACACTTGCCAGGCAGACGCTTGTGCCGCTGAGCTATATCCCCGGCCCTGGCTCCATTTTTTAAAAGCTAAGTAATACTCCACTGTATGAAAATACCACATCTTTTTTATCCATTCCTCAGTCAATGGGCATTTGGATTGTTTCCAAGATTTAGCTGTGACAAATTGTACTGCTCTAGGGCCGGGGAGATAGCTCAGTGGCACAAGTGCCTGCCTGACAAGCACAAGGTCCTGAGTTTGATTCCTGGTACCAAAAAAAAAAATTATACTGCTATAAACATGGGTGCACATATATCGCTGTGGTATGATGTTTTCAATTCTTCTGGGAAAATATCCAGAAGAACAGCTTGGTTAAGTGGGATCTCTAGTCCCATTTTACTGAGGAATCTCCAGACTGATTTCCACAGTGGTTGTACCAGTCTGCACTCCCACCAGCAGTGGAGAAGGGTTCCTTTTTCCCCACAGCCCCTCCAGCATTTGTTTGTTTGTTTGTTTGTTTTTTTGGTTTTTCTCTGATTCCGGGAACCGAACTCACGACCTTGCGCTTGCCAGGCAGGCGCTTTGCCGCTGAGCTAAATCTCCAGCCCTCCTCCAGCATTTGTTGTTGGTTGATTTCTTAACGATAGCCATTCTTTCTAGAGGTGGAATCTCAATGTTGTTTTAATTTACATCTCTTGAATGACTAATGATATAGAACATTTATCTCCTTAGTGTAAGAACCGGAAAGCATAAATAAAATCTTTTCTTTTTTTTTTTTTTCTTTTTTTGTCTTTTTTGAGACAGGCTCTCAGTATGCAGTTCAGGCTGGCAAAAGGAAATAAAATCTGAAAGGTTCAATAGGTATTGTGAAAAGGAAAGAAATTGCTCAAAAGGAAAGAACAACTGGGATGAGGGAAAGGAGAAAAGAAAGAAAGAAGGAAGGGAAAAGAAATATATATGTAGACACAAGATAGCTAAGATAACTGTACCACTAATTTCTATTGGTTTATTGAAAGGAACAGTTCATGTTTAATTGTTTGATCAACCGTGCATACTATGCTCCATCATGCCTCTTTTTTTTTTTTTTTTTCAGAGCAACTACTATCTTCAAAGCAACTACTTTGAAGATAACAATATGTAACTCAATAGCTGGGCATGGTGGCACACGCCTGTCATCCCAGCACTCGGGAGGAGGCTGAGGCAGGAGGATTGCTATGAGTTCGAGACTACCCTGGGCTATAAAGGGAGCTCAAGACCAGCCTGAACTGCATATTGAGACCCTGTCTTTAAAAGATAAAAAAAAAAAAAGTAACACAGCGACCGCTGTTAATTTCCTCTCATCTTGTTTTGAAATTATGCATCATTTTTACTGTTTTTATGTTGTTTTTGTTCTTTTCTCTTAAAAAAAAGAAAAGCCAGGTGTGGTGGCACACGCCTGTCAGTCCAACCCTCAGGAAGCCGGGGCAGAAGAATTACCATGATTTTGAGGCCAGCCCGAACTGCATAGCAACAAATAAATAAATAAATAAATAAATAATAAATAAGACATTTAAACCTAAAATAATCTTGGAATTATTTTTTGTTTGCTTTTGTTTTTGTTTTTGTTTTCTTTTGTTTTGGTTTGGTTTTTTTCCGGTACCGGGAATCAAATTCATGACCTCGTGCTTGCCAGGCAGGCGCTGTGCCGCTGAGTTAAATCCCCAGCCCCCTCTTGGAATTCTTAATGTACCAATTTCCCAATTTTTAAGGATTTTTACACTAGCTTCCGTGTTCTAGGGGAAGAGAAACCAATCACTCATTCCCAGGACATGCAGTTTCCATGGTTTTGGCTCAGCCTCGACTTTTACTTGATTTTTTGTTTGTTTCTGTTTTGTTTTGTTTTTTTCTGGTACTGGGAATCGAACTCACGACCTTGCACTTGCCAGGCAGGTGCTGTGCCACTGAGCTAAATTCCCAGCTGACTTTTACTTGAAGTATGGGAGGCTGAGGCAAGAAGAACCTAGCAAGGCTAGGTTGAACCCAGCCTGGGCAATTTAGCAATTTACGGAGACCCTGTCACAAAATAAAAAAGATATAAACAGGGCCAGGGGTGTAGCTCAGGACAAAGTCCCTGGGTTCGATCCCCTGTACTGCAGGAAAAAAACACAGTGTCTTGGAGGGCAACGCCACCTCTTTGGGAGGGCTGCCCACGAAAGGAGCCCATGCTTCCGGCGACAGTGCGACAGGGCTGTGCCCTCCCAGCCTGGCACCTGCCACTTCACCAGCCAGCGCTCAGCCGCACACACCACCTGGCAGGGCCTGGGACCCTCAGCCGCACCTGCTCCTTGGAGGGAGCCTTGGGCAGCTGCATGGCAGCTCTCAGCCCCGCAGGGACACAGCCAGAACTGGTGGCACCGTGTCTGGAGCCCAAGGCCCCCATCCCCGTCACCCGAGCGCCAGTGTCGTAAGCAGACGTCAGCAGGGAGGCCAGGCCTCTGTCGGCTCCAGAGCTGCGCTCCAGGCTGGCCAGACTCAAGGCCAGGGCAGGAAAGCACCCAGCCCCTCCCGCATCTGGGCAGGGACACGGCCGTCTTTGTGCGGCTGGGGACACCCTGGGGGGGATGTTACTTTGCAGGACTGAGGAGGTTCTATCTGCAGGACACAGGGAAACAAAGCCCAACTGTGCAAATCCCCTCCGCCACGCCAGCCTCTGGAAAGAGCCCAGTTCCCAGGCCCTGCCGACCCGGGCCGGGCGGGCTGCGTGTTGGGCCTGGTGGCTGGACAGCACCGTGACACCCGCCAACCCTTACCCACAGTCCGGGCCCAGCAGGCTTGAGGGCCACAGCTTGCACGGGCAGGGAGCTCCTCCCCGCCAGGACGGGGACGGGGAGACTCTCTGGGACTCAGCTGTTCTTTTTGAGAAAGGATCTCAGGCTGGGATTCAACTCACCATGTGGTGTCAAACTCAGAGAGCCTCCTGCCTCAGCCTCCCGAGTGCTGGGATGACGGGTGTGTGCCACCACGCCAGCCTTCAGCTCTGTTTAGGGAACAGCCAGACACCACTGGGGCCGGGCTTTCAGAGAGAGCTGGCCAGGCCTCAGTTCCAAAGCCTAGGAGATCTGACGACGGTCAGACTGGCCCTCAACTGCTGTCAAGTGGCGCTCCCTGAGGGACCTGCTGAGCACCGGCTGCATCCTAAGGTCCGGCTCTGCCTCCTCAAATGCAGGGCAAGCAGGGCTACCCCACGTTCTGCACTCCTCACAGCCTGTAGCTGGGCTGATGAGCCATTCACGTCCCTCCCCCATTAACATGGTGACAACATGGACGGCCCCAGCCTCAAGCAGCCAGCTTAGCACTCTGGACTGTCAAGGCCTGAGGAAGCAATGCACACGCAGTGGAAATCTGGATCTTGCACTTTTGTTTCTCCTGGGCGAGTGACACCTCCAGGAAGAGCAGCCCTGACCAACCGGGCTCTGTGGGGCTAAGCTGTGACATCCGTGGGACTGGCTGTGTCGCCTGCCTTTTCAGGTCAGGGTACTTTAAACTTAAGTCGGGGCCGTCTGTACCCACTTTTTGCACCCCTGATATTTCCAAGGAGCATTCAAGGCGGTTTGAGGAAAACCCCGAACAGGTTGGTTAAAGGGAAGAGAACAGCGCAGTCCGCCCCATGACAGGCGCTGGGGGAGGAGGAGGAGTTCCGGGGTGCCCACAGCAGGGGCTGCAGAGGATGCCGTCCCTGAGCGTCAGCCGGTGCGAGCCCAGAGCCAGGGGCAGCGCGTGCCCGGCACAGCCCTCCATCCCCCCCCAGCCGCGAGCTCAGATCCGGGGCGTCCTGGGCCCCGAGCGGGGCGACCCCACGCTGAGCCCAAGGTCCAGCACGCGCACAGGGCTGGTGACACTTGCCTTTAAGTGGCCGATGACGAACTTGTGGACGAGGTGGTTCCACTTGGACTTCTTGTACACAGAGAGGTGGCCGTAGTCATGCTGCAGCCACCCAGCCTGGGCCTGGGAAGGGGCAGAGGCCGTCAGCGGCCGCGGGTGGGCACCGGCAGCGCGGGGCGGGGGGGCAGGCGGGCTCGGCTCACCTGGGAGGTGGCGAGGACGCAAGCGGTGACGAGCGTGGGGACCCAGCCGTTGCCGAAGTAGGACACGATGAGCCAGGCGGCGCTCTCCATGGCCACGATGTGCACCAGCAGCAGCAGGAAGAACAAGTGGTTGGTCCGGAACAGGTTCATGTCCTCTGCCACCTTCTTCAGGGTCCGGAAGTCCTCGGTGATCTCAGACTGTTGTGCAAGGACAGAGGAGGACTCGGCTGCCGGCCCTTGTGGAGTGGACGCTGTCTCCACATGGGGCGGCCACCCCAAGAAGTGACACGGGCACGGGCCACCGCTCTGGCATTGCAGGAGCCCAGCCACCATGCACGTGCCCACGGCTAAGCGGCGGGGAAAGAGTGCCGCGTCTCCACGCTCGCCCTAGGCTGGCACGCAGGGAGCACCGGGCTCCTTTCGGGGACTAGGAAGTGGCACCCGCAGGAGATGGGGTGACACGAGCTGTAGCCAAGCCCTGGCCCTGGGGACTCTGAGGTCCTCCTGACCCCAGGGCTCAGCGGTGGCAGCTCCTCCCGGGCCGGTCCTGGAGTGAGGGGACCCCGCACCCGCCCAGGTCCCTGCTGCACTCACGCTCTTGCTGCGGTCCAGGCTGGGCTCCTCAGGAGCCAGCTCGCCAATCAGCAGGGGCTTCAAGAACTTGCGCACGAACTCAAGGTCCGGGTGGAAGGCGCGGAAGGCATCCTGGAGGAGGGGCATGGTGAGGTGCGGTCATGTCTACCCTCGGCATGACTCCGCCGGCAGCAGGAGCTGCCCGGCCCGTGCCCACGTGGAGCCTGCTGAGCTCTTGGGGACAGACCAGTCCCAGCCTGCCTCCGAGCCGGGCACCAGCACCCCGAGGACCCTCACCCACAAACCCAGGATTCCCAACGGAAGGAGCACGAGTGCAGGCCACTGCCTGTGGCGACGTGCCCAGGAGCTCCCGGCAAGCATACAGTGGACACGGAGCACGGAGGAGCACCGGGAGGGGCTGGAGGGCCCGAACGCCGGCTGCAGGCAGCGGGTGTGTGCGCTCTTTTCCACTGTCCAGCCTTTCTAACAGTGCTGTCAGGTCAGGCATTTCAACTTTTTAAAACTAGTAATAAGGCAAAAATGTGCTCTGTTTCGGCCAAGTTGAAACACGTACAGAAGAATAAAGGCAGGAAATACCACCCAGGGAGCAGGCAGCAGGGCCACGCTCACTCGCTCCCTTCCTTCCACGTACCCCACACCCGACCTCATCGACACCCACGCCTCTCCCGGGGTTCCGGGCGGGGCAACACACGTCCCAATAGGACAGATCGCCCTGCACCTCAGAAACAGAAGGAAAAGCAACCAGGGAGGCATGGAAGGACGCGGGTGAGCGGGGTCCGGGTTACACCACGCACAAGACCCCAGGTGTGGGTGCCTGAGCCGGAAAAGCCTGCGTGGGAAACAGACGTCACCAAAGACTCTTTGGGGACAAGGAGAACACAGAGGCACAGACAGGACCGCCACCCCCGCGAGGAAGTGATGGTCTTCTTGGAAGGGACAGGGCTCGTGACTGTGACAGCTCGCCACCCCGTCCTGAGGATGCGGCTGGGGAATGCAGGGTTGCGGCCGCACGGGGTGCAACTCATTTCCAAAAGCAAAGCAAGGGCCAGCCCGTGTGAAGGGGGCGCACGTGGCCGTGAACTAGTGGCAAGTCTGCTGGGGCCTGTCCTCCAGATGTGGCAGCACAGTCACAAAATTTCAAAATAAACCGAGAAGGTGAGGAAGAGACCACCAACGCATAAAACTTTCCACGCCTCCAGGGCCCCCCGGGGGCACAGCCTCCTCCCTCCTGGCGCAGGCGCTTGGCCTGGTATCACTCCATGTCCATAACACACTTACAAAGCAACACTTCTGCAGGAAACCAGGCCCAGGGTCTGAACGACACCTCTCCCCAAATTCAAAGACCCAATCCAAAAAAGGGCATCTGAAACGAACACTTTCCAGATGAGGAAGTACAAACGGCCAGTACGTACAGGAAAACTGCTCAACGTCACTGGCCATTCAGGAATGCAATTAAAACAACGCTGAGATTCCACCTCACCCCAGAAAGAATGTCCACCATCAGGAAAGTCCAGCATCAAGCTGTAACAGATGGCGGCGGGGCTGCGGGGAAAGAGGAACCCTTCACTGCTGGTGGGGGTGTAGACTGGGGCAGCCACTGTGGAAGTCAGTGTGGAGATTCCTCAAAAGACTAGGACTAGAGGTTCCATTCAGCCCAGCTACTCCCCTTCTCATGTCTTCCTGAAAAAATGAAAAGCACCACACCATGGGATATACGCGACCCCTGTTTATAGTGGCACAGTCTATATAGCTAAATCTTGGAAACAGCCAAAATGCCCATCTACTGAGGAGTGGATAAAGAAGATGTGGTTTTTGTACACAGGGGACCCGACTCTGCCATAAGAAGGATAAAGCTGAGGCATTCCTGGGTAACTGGTGGCACCCTGAGACCATAGTCTTTTTTTTTGTACTGGGAATTGAACTCAGGACCTTGCGCTTGCCAGGTAGGCACTTGTGCCACGGACCTATATCCCCGGCCCTAGATGAGACCATATTTTTTTCTTTTTTGGTAACAGGAATTGAACTCATGACCTCACGCTTGCTAAGCGGGCACTTGTGCCGCTGAACTATATCCCCGGCCCAAGAGATCACACTCTTTGGTGAAGTAAATCGGACACACATGTGTAGATACTGCACTGTTTTCTCTGGTGTGAGGAATCCAAAGTGTTACTAAGGAGACACGTGGAGGTGAATATGAGGAGGTAGGAAGGACTTTTTCAAACAGGAAGGGAACAAAAGGGAGGGAAGGGGCAGGGGAGGAAGGAAAAAGGGATTTTTAAAAACGGAAAAATGGCACTAGAGCTTTTGTGAGCGGGCGGGAAGAAGGGCCGGAGGGAGGAAGGGAGGGCAAAAGCGAGAATCCCGCTGTGCTGCCCGTGTGCCCGCCCCACGGGGAATGTGACGTTAGGGACTGCAAATGCGTGTGAATAATGAAAATAAGTTACACGCAAAAACGAATGAAGACACCTCCGTGTCACCCACGCTGGGCAGAGGCGCAAGACAGGCTCTGTGTGTTTCTGGGGGGAGAGGGGTGCTGCCTGGGCCCGCGTCTCTGTGGAGGAGGCCCAGGCAGGCGGGGTCCATGGCGACTCTGCGCACCCCCACTGCAGACCTCAGAGAAACAAACAGGAAGCACTGGCCGGAGCTTCCGGGACACAGCGCAGCCTATGCTTGGTCCCTACGGCCTCCCCGGCCTGCCGCAGGTCCCATGCAGCCACCCGCTGGGCAAAGGCGTGGCCTGCCGCAGCCCTGCCGGCCCCCAGCCATTTCCGGGCGCTCCGGGACAGCCTCGCCCCTGGGTGTCAGGCAGGTGCCAGCCTGGCTCGTGAACCCTCCCAGAGCCCTGCGTGGCAGTCAGGCTCGGGCCCAGCTGCGGTTTGCTGCCCTGTCGGTGTGGCAGTGCTGGCGGGCACCCCTGCTGGCACTGAGGTCCTGGCTGGCTCCCCTGGGACTCGTACCACCCAGGAGGCATTTCCTGTCCACCTGCCCCAGCCCCAAGACTTCTTACGGACACTGCCCGTCTCAGCAGGGTACAGCGTCACAGCCCCGGGGTGTAGCGCCTCTCCACCGAGCCAGGCACGCAGGTCCCCAGGCCACCACCGAGCCCCCCGGGGCTCACAGGCCTGCTGAGCCGCAGCACCCCAAAACCCAGGGCGCCTTTCACCCCGAAGGAAGTCGTGTGCTGTCGTTTTCCGTGTGAGGCGGCTGGGCGCCTGCTTCCGGGCCACCGAGTTCTCCAGGTCCCGGGCACCCTGCCTGGGGGTCTGTCCGGCTGACACGGGTGGCCACTGTGCCGGGTGGGCAGAGAGGAACCAGGACCCGAGGCTGGAAGCCGCGCCGTGCCCACCCGGCCTGCAGCAAGCGCCTGGGGTGGGGGAGACACCCTTCTGCGTCTCCCTACCACGGCTCCCTGCACACTTGCAGCGGCCCCGACAGCTCCCGGTCCCCGGTCCCCTGCTACTGCGCAGGAGGCCGCGGCCGAGGTAGGCAGGGCCAACCCAGACGTTGATTTTGGAACAAGAACTGGAACCTGCTCCACCCTCCCCGGCAGGGAGAGAAGCCAAAGTCTCTCCAGGAAGAGACAGGAGCGGCCGCAGGTGGTGAACAGGTGAGCTGACGGTGCTGCAGGGGCTGTGCTGAGGTCACTCCAGGGCCCCACACCCCAGGGTCCTCAGGCTAGTCGTCACCCACACCGGTCCCTGCTCCGCTGGCCCGCCCTTCCTACCCGGGCAAGACTCACACCCCGGCACCCGCACGCGCCCAGGCTGTGCCAGTTCCCCCTGCGGCACAAGACCGGATCTCCGCCAACCATACCGCCGGGCACTTGGTCCAGCGCTTGGGAGCACGGGTGAGCGGGCTTGTGCTGCGGCTCTCCTGGGACCAGGACCCTGGGGCTCCAGGCAGAGGTGAAGGGAAGGAGGATGGACGCTGACCTCCTCTCTGGGGCAGGGCTGGTGGCCCTGACCCGGGAACTTGCCAAGCGGCTGCAAAGGTGCCTCAGCAGAGGCGCGTGGCTCGGAGGTCTGTCCGGGAGCAGGCTCCCGCCAAATCTCCCCTGTGCAAGGGTGGCTGAACCTCTCCCCACGACGCCAGGGCCGGGCAGAGGCCACGCCAGCCCGGGCACTCAGACCCAGCTTCTCCCGTCTCCATCCCCTGCGGCCCTGCCCACAGGAAGCCCGGGCTCCCCGGAACTGCTCAGTGCGGGTGGAAAGCCCCAGCCCAACTCTGAGCGCCCCCACCCCGCTAGACCCCGAGACAGGTAGGGCAGGCGGGTGGGAGAATTGAAGAGGTGAGGCCTGCTGGGCAGGGTGAGGGTGTCCGGACGCGGGCGGTCCAGGTCAGCCGCAGCTGGAGAGAGGGAGGGACCCAGGGCGCCGTGAATTATTCATCCCCGCGCCGGCTGGCGGTGGAGACTCCCATGAATGTTGGATGAACTGCTGTGAGGATGGAGTCTGGGCAGTGGGCCGGGCTGCCGGGAAAGGCTGGAGCAGGGGCAGGCGCAGAGGAGACAGAGCAGGGCCGCGGGAGATCGGGGGAGAAGGGCTGCAGACCGAGCGCAAACAGATATCCAAGACGAAATGAAAGAACTTTTATCAGCATGACAAGTGAGCGCAAAAACAAGCAGCTTTTTAGACAAGATAGTGACTGTTTACTGTGGGCCTCAATAGCTTATCCAGGCAGGCCCCAAACTCTCAGGCTCAAGCAATCCTCCTGCCTCAGCTTCCCGTAGAGCTGAGACCACAGGCGAGGGCCACCGTCCCCCAGCTAAGTGAGCTAAGTGACTTTCATTAATACAGCCAAGGACAAGTTCTGACTTCTGCACAGAGGACAATGGTTCTGTCCTCTGGGGGAAAGGTGGTTCTCACTGCTGATTCCCCTTCCTCAGAAACTGCAAATCCCCGCAGCCCACACTGGAGCGTCTCCCCAGAGAGGGGGTCCCCCCACAGAGAGGGTGTCCTGCCCTCTGGCCACAGTGAGGTAACAGCTCCAGAGGCAGCAGCCCTGTCCCCGCCCTCAGCCTCAGGGAGAAGTCTCTGCCCCCAGGGTCGGAGTTACCGGCTCTCAAGGCTCCCCAAGCCTTTTCCAAGTGCACCCCATACTACTACAAAGATAAGAGGTGGTAGCGCTCGTGTGTGTTTTTGTCTAACTTGTGGACTAAGACCTAGGAACAGGTGCAAAAAATAAATCTGCAAGCCCGGACTCATGGCTCGGCAGGAGTTCGGATGCACTGAGGAAGGATCACAGCACAGCCAAAGAAAATAAAACCACACATTACCCTGAGACACAGGAGAGGGACCGGGGTGCCGGTCACCACTGAGGCTGGTCCCAAGGCTAAAGCACTGTTAGCACCTGACTGAGCAGTCTCTGCGGCGTAGAGACTCAGTATTCTGGTTTCCACACTGCAGAAAGATAGCTCTTTTTCCTCCTCTTTCTTAGAGGGTTGTCCTGGACGCAGGAGCTGGAGTTGAAGCCAGGTCTGTGCTTGGGTCACGTTTGTTTAAATGTAGTTAAGTAGTAACATCAGATTAAAATTCCCACAGGTTTTAATGAATAAGTAAAAGGCCACACAGCACCCAGGGCCTTGGTCACGGCCAACCTCGCTCCCACGAGGACACGCAGTGCCCCAGCCCTGGCCTTGGAAGCAGGGAGCTTGGAGGCGGGACGGTTTGTACGCCTTGCTGCGCACATTAGTTAGAAAGTGGACTGAAAGTTTTTCTTCTACCTTTCTTTTCAGGAACTTCACGTTGTAGTTGTTTCCTAGTCCTTCCTTTCTGACAACATTTTACAGCAACTACCTGGAGCCTAGATTTGTGGCCTGCTGGGTCACAGGTGTGTCAGGAGGGGGCTCCGACCCTGACACCCACATCCACACGGGGAACAGGTCTCCTTCTGCTGCCCCCGGCTACGTGCAGACCTCAGCAACCCGGCCCGGCTTCCCTGCACCAGGGAAACCAACTGCAAAGCGCCAGGTTATGGCCAGAGAGGGCACCGGGTGCGATCAGAAATGATTTTGACATTCGGAGCTCAAATCAGAGTACACAAAAGTCACAAGCGGAGCAGGGTACACAGGGGCATTCACACAAAGGTCGGGTCGGCAGTGAGAACCTGTAGGGCCAGCAGGAAGTGAGTACCGACTGGGTGTCCAGGTGAGGAGATGCTTCTGTGACCACAAGGGACACTCGGCCAAGCCCGCCATACCACCCTAGGGAGTTTGCTGGTGAGAGCCGGCAGGGCAGGAACCCCCACACTCTGGGGCGACAGCCAGTCTGGAAAGACTGCAGCCCAGCAGGAGCCAGATCTCTGGAAAAGCCCCTTGCCCCAGACCAGCCTGAAACCCCACCCAAGGGTCAGCAGCCCCAGCCAGGCTCAGCAGCACCCAGGCAGGTAAAACCGGACGAGCAGAAAGCAGGTGGGCAATGTGGACATCGCTGGTCCTTGGCTGGGCCACGTGGACACGGCTGGCCCTCCCCTCGGTCAGGGGCCGGTCTGAACCTGTTCTGCACAGCCACCTGTCCCCTGAGCAGCCTCCATCTCCATGAAGAGATGCGGAGGTCGAGAACTGGACCTCTTCAATGTGGACGGCCAGTCCTGCAGACAGGCCCGCGGCCAGTCCACCCGCCCGCCGGCCTCCTGTTGCACCTTTCCCGAGTTCTCTGTTGGACTGAAACCCTGTCGCTCCCAGCGCTCCACCCCCGAGAGCGGACCCTCGCTCTGCCCTCCCGTCACCCATCCGATCCCTTCAAGCAGGAATTTCAGACTGGGGGGGCGCTGTGAGGTTGCTAGGGGCGACAGGAGGGCATCGGGGACCCACCTAGGGGCGTGCAGGGGATACCAGACAGAGGGCCATTGAGTTGACCGCCCCGGAGTAACCTCGGATTCGGTGGACCTGTGGCCAAGCCACCGGGCGCCAGGCGCTGCCAAAGCCGCTCAGCCGCGCGGGCTCCTCCGGATCTGGGCTTTGCGGGAGGCCGGCCCGGGGCGCTTCGGGGAGTCCCGGGGGGCCCGGGAACCTGAGCCTCTGGGCGGCCTCGGGGCAGCAATCTGGACTTCGCGGGACGCTGTCCCCGCACAAGCGAGCGCGCCGGGCCCGCGCCCCGTCTCTGCACACCGGGCTGGTGCAGAGCGCGGTGCGCGCGGCC